AATGGGACAACCTTGTTTAAATCGATTTATAGCAAACTTGATATACGCTCTTCGGTATGCCGCACTGTTCAAAATTTTATCTCAATCCGACACCAGTTGGAAATATATATGGGAGCTATGTCTGCACTTGCACCAATCAAAAAAAGCAATAACGTTATTCTAGCTCAATATGATACGTTGTGCAAAATTTCGTGTCAATCGGACAAACATTGATATATGTGGGAGCTATATCTAAATCTGAATTCAACGAAACTTTCCAGAGACAAATTATTTGTACAAAATTGTGTGCCAATCGGACAAATTTCGGGTCTTTTGTGCACAGTTTATATAAAATCGGACGAAACTATAAATCTGAACCAATTTTAATGAAATTTAACACGAAAGATATGTGGGACCTTGGTGCACCATTTACACAAAATCGGACGAATCTATATATTGGAGCTATATCTAAATGTGAAACGATTTTCACAAAACTTAACACACATTATTCTAGACTTAATTCAATACATTATGCCAAATTTCGTGCACACCGAATGATATATACATAGTTAAATCGGACGAAAATATATATAGGAGATACAGTCGAATTCGGTTAAGCGAAAACGGCTAATTCCAGAAAATTTCTTTCTCTTAAGCAGGATTTTCAATTAACAGAACTTCGGATTAGCGAAAGTCGTTGTGCTTAAACGAAGTTTTCAATCAATATCTGAAAAATCGTGAAATTTATTAATCATATTATAAAATGAATTGAATAAGAACTTGTTTTTTCGTAGACAATAGCTTGGATGGTTGGAAAAATGTGCAATATAAATTTAGGGCAGCACATAAAAATTTTAATTAACTTCGTCGCCCTTACAAAAATTATATTTTTTCTCCTAAACGGTGCTCGTTTCATATATATTTGTGTCTTTTACAGATTTTCAAAAAACCGGCTTTTCTTTTAAGAGAATCAAAATGTTTGAAAATTCATCCGAAATATTAGTTTAAAATTTTTAGTTTCAATTAAGCGATTCTTTTGAAAAACCGGCGTTCGCTTATCCGAATTCGACTGTATATCTAAATCTTAACTGATTTTTCCCAATTTCAATAGGGTTCGTCGTTGGGCCAAATAAATGAGCCTTGCCAAATTTCATTCAATTGGGATCATAAATGCGACCTGTACTTTGCTTCCCATTTAACATGGACAGATAGACGGACGAACATGCATAAACTCAAAAATCGGGTAGGTATGGTACTCTAAAAAGATTTTGTATGGTTCCTACTCAAAACCTTAGTTAGTGTTTGGTAAGGAGATTAGCTTCCACTGTGAGCCCAAAATATAAAATTACTGTAGATTACTTAAATTTCCGAAATTTGGGGGGGTGATGCTATATCGGAGGTTTCCTAAACGTGTATTTTGTGAAATATTTGCCACCCAGTATTAGTTTGGGAAATCATTATGACTTTATTTAACATGCTTCGGAATGTCCGATTTGGCCAAATATGCACCGTTTTGTTGTATTATTTGTTGCCATTTTAAAGGTAACATCATAATACCTCTCTCATAGAAGTCCTGCTCTGTATTTGCAAAAAAACTATAGTAGTCGATTTTCGCAATCCTCCCTAGACACCAATTTTGTATCATTAAAGAAATTTTGCAATGCATGAAAAATATTATAATCGCCAACCAATCTCCCGAAGTTTCTGGCGAGTAACTGTAGATGTGTGTGGCCTAGCGTTGTCCGTATGGAACATGATACCACTCCTCTCAATTCTGGCCGTTTATGGTCAATTGTAAATGGTTTAAAACAGTTTTATTGTCGATGTTTAGCTCCTGACATGCTGGTCATTTCTCCGATTTCATCGACATTTTCTACGAAACCAAAATTGCACATAATTGGCTGTTACAATATCGGAACCGTAAACAGCCTTCGCAATTTTAGCCGTTTGTTTAGGAAACCTCCGGTATATCGGAGGTTTCCTAAACATGTATTTTGTGAAATATTTGCCACCCAGTATTAGTTTGGGAAAAAAAGAAATCATTATGACTTTATTTAACATGCTTCGGAATGTCCAATTTGGGTTAAATATGCACCGTTTTGTTGTATTATTTGTTGCCATTTTAAAGGTAACTTCATAATACCTCTCTCATAGAAGTCCTGCTCTGTATTTGCAACAAACTATAGTAATCGATTTTCACAATCCTCCCTAGATACCAATTTTGTATCATTAAAGAAATTTTGCAATGCATGAAAAATATTATAATCGCCAACCAATCTCACGATGTTTCTGGGGAGTCACTGTAGATGTGTGTGGTCTAGCGTTGTCCTGGTGGAACATGATACCACTCCTCTCAATTCTGGCCGTTTCTGGTCAATTGTAAATGGTTTAAGGGAACCTCCCCTCCCACCCTTCTCGATTTTATTTTTTCAAGATTTTCAATGGGCTGGTAAATCAATACCAATGCTTGTTAATGTTTGTAACATTGCCCATATATATCTGACGATTTAAAAGAGAAGAAAAATAATTTACAAAAAATTTTTGTTATTGTTTTGTTGTTGTTTTTTGTAATTAAAGAAAAGTCCTTATTTTTGATGGTGGTCATGATAACTCCCCACTGGAACATCGGAATCGGAAAGAGCACATGTCTGTCTCTCGTATGAACTAGGATTATTGACTTCGTTCTAAAATTAACAAAATGTTTTTTTTTTTACCAAAAACCAAGTTAAAAAATAAGGAAGATCTTCACCGAATGGCTTTATCCTAGTTCATACGATAGCTATACACTCACAGAAAAAGGTGTACAAATTTGGAATCGATTGGGTAATTAGTTCTCGAGTTTTCTTGAAATTTTGTAGGGACATTCTTGAATTAGTGTAGATTCGAATTAAATCAAAAAAATTGTTGACCCCGTGAATGGGGGGTCCCCTTAAAACAGTTTTATTGTCGATTTTTAGCTCCTGGGCGATCCTACGACTGCTAACGACAACTTCAATCATTTCTCCGATTTTATCGACATTTTCGACTGCCGGCCTACCTGTGCGAGGTGCATCTTTAATATCAAAAATCTACGAAATTTTAACATGTACATAATATATGGAGCGAATCCTGTGTGGGTTAATGTGACAGCTTTATTTTGTTTTCTAACCATAGATTAAGTGTAACTAGACTAGATAGTGATTTCGTATATTTTAGTATTTATACCCTACACAACTATGTTGTCAGGGTATTATAGCTTTGTGCAGCCCCAAAAGTTTGTAACGCCGCGAAATGTTGGTCCTAGACCCACCTTTAAGTATACCGATCGTCATATCTCGACTAGCTGAGTCGATCTAGACATGTGTGTCCATCCGTCCGTCTGTCCATTATAATTTGTAAACACGGTACAGGCCACCGTTATGGTCCAATCTTCACGAAATTTTGCATGTAGGATGGGTTCTGGCCAATGAAGACCCCTATTGTTTTTGGGAAAGATCGTTTAATATTTAGGGGATGAAATGGACCAAATACTTAATTTTTGTCGATTTTTCTGGTCGCTCCAGAGGCCGCAAAAATGGCCCGAACATAGTGAAATTTTGCATTGAGAAGGGGATCGGGCCAAAGAATAAGCATGCCTCTTTGGATACAGATGGGTCAATATTTAGCGGGTCAAATGGACCCTGGCTTTTGTGTGAAAAATGACAAAATTTGTATTCTATGGCGTATATATTTACTCCTGAAGGATATAGACCCAAGAAGTTGACAAAGTATCCAAGAGGAGTGGTTGACCGTTAAATTAATACCAATTAAATCGTAGTATGTGCTCGGATGTGGAAGTTACACCTAAATATTTACAGGTGTCTCCATATTTGTATATTATTTACTAACCCATTATCACTCTAGAGAGCGGAACTATAGCGCTGATCACTTTGAAATGTTCCATGACGTTCCAGTTATGGTAAAGGACAAGGCCTATAATTTTCGGTGATGATCAGATAATAATTTTGGAATGAAGTGGATCGAATACTTAATTTTTGTGTTATTTTCGATTCGATCTATAGACCACAAATGAAAGCGAACATCACAACACAACCCACGATGAAGGGAATCTGGACAATAGCTGTACTGAATACTCAGTGTAAAGAAGTGATTTTCTTTACCTCTAATCGGGCAAGAGGGTGCAAATATCGCGAAATATTGCCAAAGCTCGGAATAAACATCCGCAGAAAATTTGAGTTCCGTGGTAGTTGTATATGGTATCATATGGTCGGCCCAGTCCGACTATACTGCTCCGCTCACTGGTTTTTACACATTAAAATTAAAATGTGTAAATATCGAAATGGAAAAGTTAAATGTTTTATATTTACTCAATCCACTTGGTACAATATGTTGTCGTACACACCTCACAAAAACTGAAACTACAATTTCAATATTATAGGGACGAACAAATCGTACAATATTTCGTACTGTTTAGCAATTATAGTACGAATTTCCAAAAATGCACCAAATAAACTACAGGGAAAATTTCCTATTTTTTATAAAAACCCTACCCATGATACACTATATTGTCGTTTGTCATACTGCCCTTATATAACGAATTTTAATAGTCCTACTCTATCACTCTCCTATGCACTAAAAGTGGCCCTCTTCCAAAATCTAAGATTCACATAACTATCACATTTTTCGAACAATTTTCATATAAAATTATTTAAAGATTTTTTGGACGAAAAAATCCCAAAAACCCTAGCACACACTGTCTTTCAATTCCGCAACCATTCTGTCCAATTGTCATTGCTCTCTTATCTTTGAAAATATTCATGAGACTACATATATTGGCAAACATATGATGGTGATGATGATGAGGATAACGATAATAGCAAGTATGTATGTTGCTGCTTATAAAGATAATAACAATATAGCTTGCCCGCACTCTCTATGTGTGTACCATATGCATCTGATTGTGTGTGAGTGTGTGTGTTTGCCCATGTCAATACTTAACATTTAGGTCACAACATCAATATGACCTTAAAACAATTACTTACAATGTCAGCTTCGGCATCTGCATCTGAATCATCGTATGGCAAATTGACATCAATAATATCGACACTTTCTCTGCCTTTAGCACCAATGCCAATGTTGCTCTTGATGTTGTTGTTGTTCTGTTCCTTTTCCTCAATCTCTTGCAGATGTCGTTGGTCAAATATATCCTCAGGTATTGTTGTCTCATCTTGCATATTGAAATCTACATCGAGAGATGAAGGAGAAGAGAATATACAAAAAAGGAAAGGGAGAAAAAAGAAAAGCAACATTAAAAACTAATCAAATGCAGACTAGAGATGAATACAAACAAGATATACAAATAAATATGCATACTACTACATACAGATAGACAGACATAAAATGAAATTTTTCATTTCTGTTCAATCTAACTTAACATGTTTGTCTAATAGTGATACACACGCACAGAAATATTGGAAATTGTGTTACAATTCAATTTTAATTTAAAGGGTAAACAAATAAGGTTGTTTGATATAAAAACATATGGTAAATGTTTTAGCCACCACATGCCAGGGCCAATATAGTGTGCAAATATACTTTGGGGTTTGGAAAAGCCCTAGTTGAGTATATTAAGAACCCAGAAACACAAATTCGCCATTGGTCAAATGTTTGAATTATGGCGTGATTAATTTTTATGCTGCTTACATTAATGTTCACGAGGACAAGGTTTTATATCTCTGTTTGCGGCTATTTCAGGTTATTTTTGAAATTACATGTCTACAGTCAAACCGAATGAAAGATATTTTTGTAAAACATATCCTTTTTCTATTTCGAGTCCTTTTGCGTCTATATTCTCCACAACTAAATACCACAACATATATGTTTTTAATATTTTCTGACTACAATCGCTAAAAATATCGCTCAAAGACAATAAATCTATTTTCTTATGTTTTGATTTTATTTTCCTCTTTTAACCGATTCTTGCTCCAAAAACCTTATATGAATTTCGTATAATTCTACCAAATTTCGTATATCGTACACTAAGTGTTTGAGGTGAAAAATTCCTATTGGGATGAAAGACCTTGGCGAGTATGTGAAAATCCCAGAAGGAAAAATTCGCCATAGGTCAGGGGAAATAATGGGTGATCATTATGCCCTTTACTACACTGTGGTACAGGGTATTATGTCTTTGTGCATATGTTTGTAACACGCAAAAGGAAACAAGATATGTGTCTATCTTGTTTCCTTTCATTTTTATTTTGAGAATATGTATAGAATCACTTTCTGAGTCGATTGATGCATGCCCGTCCATATGTCTGTCCATGTTAAATTGTAAACATTTATGATCCGAATTGGATGAAATTTGGCAGAGCTCAAGGACAAACCCTATTGAAATTGGGAAAAATCTGTTTAGATTTAGATTTAGCTCCCACATACATATTTCCACCGATTTAATGTAAATGATTTTGGTGCACCATTGGCATAGCGTACTAAATTAGAATGATGTGTGTTAAGTTTTGCGAAAATCGGTTCAGATGTAGATATAACTCCCATATATTTTTTCGTCCGATTTAATGTGAATGGTGCACCAACATTGAAACTAAAATGACTTTATTGTGTCTTGTTGAAATTTGTGCAGACACAGCTTGAATATATATTTCGAATGGATGACTGATTGAGATTAAATTTTGAACTGTGCAACATACGGAAGATCATATATAAAGTTTGTTTTAAATCGATATAAATATATTTATCGCATTGTACACAAATAACTCTAAATCTACCCGAATGAACATAGGTTGCAGCATGGCATATGTATGAATTGATGTTTGTCGGATCACATATAGATAAAGATCACATATTTAAGTACGTTCAATTTCATGCCAATGTTCCAATCGGAAAGGCGACATCAGTTAGGATACATATGTAGAATATACCTAAAGTGGTGTAGGGTATCTTATTGTCGGCCCAGTCTGACTTTGCTACGTTCCTTATTGGTTTTCTATAAAAGCTTCAAAACGCTCGAAATTTTCACCGTAGACCTTATAAATTCCATATAATTAATCAGAGTAAAATTTTATACTGCCTGTCTGGTGTTATCACGAGCTGCGTTTTCAACTAAAATGGCAGTAAACTCGAACTTACACAGAGCTCATACACATTTTCAATATTATGAACATTTAAGCCATAGTTTCCAAACAAAGCACATTGACATTCGGGGTTCTTGGACGAAACACATCTTTACAGAAAATACAAAAAAGAGAATAAATATTTATACCCTACACAACTATGCTGTCAGGGTATTATAGCTTTGTGCAGCCCCAAAAGTTTGTAACGCCGCGAAATATTGGTCATAGACCCACCTTTAAGTATACCGATCGTCATATCTGAGTCGATCTAGACATGTGTGTCCGTCCGTCCGTCTGTTCATTGAATTTGTAAACATGATACAGGCCACAGTTATTGACCAATCTCCACGAAATTTTGCATGTAGGATGGGTTCTGGCCAATGAAGACCCCTATTGTTTTTGGTAAAGATCGGATTATATTTAGGGGATGAAATGGACCAAATACTTAATTTTTGTCCGTTTTTCTGGTCGCTCCAGAGGCCGCAATTATTGCCAGAACGTCGCGAAATTTTACATGGAGAAAGGGATCGAGCTAAAGAATAAGCATGCCTGTTTTGATAAAGATATGCCAATATTTAGCGGGTCAAATGGACCCTGACTTTTGTGTGAAAAATTACAATATTTGTATTCTATAGCGTACATATTTAATCCTGAAGGACATAGAGCCGAGAAGTTGATAGTATATCCAAGAGGAGTGGTTGACCTTTAAATTGATATCAATTATATTGTCGTATGTACCCAGATGTGGGATATTTACAGGTGCTTACGTATTCAGATATTATTTAGTAACCCATTAACCAATTACACTAGAGGGCGTAAATATAGCGCTGATCGCTTTGAAATTTTCCATGAGGATTAAGGACAAGTAATTAGAAGGGCTGTACTGAATATTAGTAATATTTGTTGACCGCTAGACGGTCAAGAGGGTGCAAATATCGCGAAATATTGCTCAAGCTCAGAATATAGAACCACAGAATGTTATATTTTCGTGGAAGTTGTGTAGGGTATCATATGGTCGGCCCCGTCCGACTATACTGCTCCGCTCACTGGTTGTCAGTTAATTTTATGAAAAAAGTACTTATTGGTAAATGACTTTTCATAGTAATCCCCGTCATATATAAAACATTTATGGCTTCTTGTTGTCCAAACCTCGATACGTTTCTGTTTTACTCTTTTTGGTATATCTGATATTTCATTTTTCCTTGATCTCCTTAAACGTAGCAAATCGCATTTCTTGTATCTTTTTAAATGAAAAGAAAACAGCCGAAGAAAAAATCGAGCAAAACGTTTACATTCGTCCAAACGTGACGTTTGACTCTGGTCTTGTCTCTTATATAAAATTGCGGATATTTATCATCAAAAAGTATTTTATTGCTTTTCAAAGTATTCTCCAGGATGATTTATACACCAAACCAATATGTCGAATAACTTTTTCCACTCCGCTTTAATTTTGCAATGGGAAAAATGGGGTTTCGATGGTTCAACTGCATCTTATGGCGACAAAAATCTTTGACTAAACGTTTTGGAAAAAAACTCCCATATAAAAGTACGTAATTTGGCATTTCGGGATCTTGTTAAATGAACATAGTATGTCCCCTATCGGTTTGGGTAATTTGATAGTCCACTTCATCTAGAAGGATATAAAATTTGTGTCGAACTCAACAACTTTTTTTATTTTTTATAACTCCTATTTAAAGTGTATCGTATTAGATTTGTTCGTATTTTTTTGGTATCACCCCTAAATATTCAATTTATGGGGTCTCTCATAAATTATATAATCTTGATCGGAATAAAATTCTATTTAAATGCAGGCATGTCTGGCTGTTGAAATCAGGATAGAGATCGAAATATTCAACTCATTTGGCGCCACGCCAAGAGTCCAGTTTATAGAATATACCAGTATTGTCGGTTTCTTGTGAATTTTGAATCGAATCCGTCCACGTTGTTGTATAGTTGTATTTTCAGGGAGTCAAACATAGTTTTCAACCGTAATTTTCTGTATGTTCCAGGTTTTTGCCCAACATTGCAACCTGCGTGTCTCTAGTTTGGATTTCGTTTCATCCTGTTAGCATTTTAACGATTTAAGGTTTTTGGAAAGTTCGCCACATTGTGGAGGGTATAAAATGTTCGACCTGGTCGAACTATTTTCTATACTTTTTCAAACACCCTTTACAACATCGGCTGCCAAAGTGTCAATGCGAAACAAACATTCAATTGTTTGCAACAACAAATTTGTAACACAATAATAGCAACATTTGAATTGGGACTTTTCAGTGTTTGTGTGTGTGTTTCCAACAAATTGAAACTTCCGATTTTTTTGTTATTATTGTATATATTGTTGTTTTTTAGCATTTCTTTGTATTTTGATTCCATTGTGGCTTTTCTTAGAAGCAAAGTATTTTGATTTGCATGCATGTGGCATTCGAAATTTATTTCTACGAATGTCCTTCAATATCCTTACAGTATAGAATAAAGAAAAAAATATATAACAAAATTCATTTGTCGTAATGTAAAGACTATGGCATCGTTTATATTACACTGTGCAACACAAGAAATAATTACCGGGAAATTCCAACAGATTATGAAAGAGGGGCTAGAAAAAGAAGACACGTGTATCGGCGTTTTGAAAGTTTATGTCGGGAGGAAACCTACAAAGTGGGGGCAATATTCCCCCTTTTCAGAAATTTTTATAGTTTTCGAATTATGATTTCTTTAAATCATTACATTTTATGTATATAGTGTCTTCGGCAATATTACTAATAAAATATCGATGAATATTTTGGTATACAACTTTAATCCTCAACCGACTCATTAAAGGTGTCTTTTCGGCCCCCTTTTCCAAGAGCGATTGAAAACTCATTCAAAGCGGTGGTAAAGCTGCTCAGAATATTCTACAGAAATGTTCGCCATAAAGTTTTACTACAAGTCTCAGAATAGACTCAAAACTAGGCTGATTTTTAGCCTAAACGTCAAGAATCTTAAAACAAAAACTCATTTTAGGGTTCGTACTTATTACTAGTGTTTACCCATTTTTCCACAAGATGTCGTTTTAGAAGGATGGTATAAGGGACAAAAATATTCTCCATACATTTTTAGCATAAGTCACT